ACACAAATTAAATAATGGCTGATAAAAGGCTTACAGAAAATAGGTCATTTTCTACTTTTCATTAATAACAGATGAAACAAGCAGTAAAACACAATATATAGCACTGAGAACACAGTTACACAACATCTCTGGAAAGGGAATACAGTTAAAGCAAAAAATGACTTTTCCTTTAACGCAGTTCAGTTTATTTATTTGTGCCAAGTCAAAACAGGAGTTGTCTCGGGGTACAGTACAGGAACAGACATATACAGTATATAAAGTAAGCTAATAACATTATTTATCTGAGGAGACAGCAGACTGCTTTGAGTCTTAACTTTGTCACAGCATGAGAAAGCAGGAAGGTGACGGTGGAAAAGAAAAACTCCCTTGTGAGGAAGAAACCTTTAGCAGAACCAGGCTCAGGACAAGCGACCATCTGCTTCGGCCTACTAGAATGGAGACACAATGGCAGGTCAAGAATCACATGTTAAGATAGAAATAATTTCAAAAGCAAACTATTCATTTGTAAGAATTAATTTTAAGAAATTAGGTCAATTTGTCCTCTAGTAGTCTAAGCCTGTAGTAGCATAACAAGCCAACCCTAACTATAGGATTTATCAAAAAAGGAAAGTCTTAAAACTGGACAATGTGTCAACATTATGGACATAAACTGGAAGTTGGTTCCAAAAGAGACACGCCTCTCAGCGAGCAGGTCGTCCCAGCTCCAATCCTGGCCAGAGCCCTTTCAGGGTGGAGTTTGCATGTTCTCTCCGTGCATGCGTGAGTTTTTAACAGGTACTCTAGTTTTCTCCCACAGACCTAAAACATGCATGTTAGACTGATTGGTAACTCTAAATTGTCTCTAGGTGTGAGTGAGAGAGTGAATGGTTGTTTGTCTCGTTTGTCTCTGTGTCCCTGTGATGGACTGGAGACATGTCCAGGGTGTTCCCCGCCCCTTGCAGAGTGACTGCTTTACATGGGCACGAGTGACCCCTGCGAATGGAAAGGAAGAAGCAGGTAAAGATGATGGATGGATATATTTTTTAACTCTTTTATGACTGATGAAGAGAGAGAGAGAGAGAGAGAGAGAGAGAAAGAGAGAGAGAGAGCAAGGTCTATCACTCCAGACCAGCTACCAGGACCCATGATACAGGTTGTTCAAAGATGCCACTGACAGTCCAGCTTGTCCAAAGAACCCTAACGCTCTCTGGTCTAATATAGCGGACCTGAATTTGATGTGGAAAAAGTCAACCATTCACATTTAAAGAGCAAGCTAAGAGTTGTTGTGTATAGACACACCAGCCCAGACAAGCATACACATACAACAAAGTCCATGCTCAATAATCCAGGTATACAATCCAACATTTTTCAGTCAGGTCATCTGGGCAGTTTCTTTTTTTTTGTGCTGAAACGTTTCGTCTTCGGTCCGGAAGGCTTCATCAGTCAAGGAAACACACAACAAAACTGATTCTTCCCCCAACAGCTCACTCCAAATTGGAACAAACCAGTTCTGCTTGTGATAAGATGGTCTCTTTGGTACACCTCATCCTCCATTGCCAGCCCTCTTCCTTGTTGACAGTCTTGTCAAACTGGTTGAAAACAACAAAGTCCATGCTCAATAATCCAGGTATACAATCCAACATTTTTCAGTCAAGTCATCTGGACCGCTTCACATCCACATACAGTAAATGCATAAACAATATCTAAATATTCTAAAAGTGAAAAGAGCTTTTCTTTGTGTATGTCATGTTTGTGATGGTGTCCTAGTGAAGGACAGATACACGAGGGCCTCAGGACATACCCAGCAAACCTGTGTGGTTTGATAAACCTGAGAAATGTGACATGTTGTTACATTTTGTTTACATACAATTGTGTGGTAGTTGCAATCGCATCATCTTGTGACTCAGGAATGAGGAAACAAAAACTGCTGTGTGTGTGACAGGTCCACCCATTTGTTGTTGTTTGGTAGTTCTTTGATTACAGTGTGTGAGGGTGTGTAGCATCTATCACGCCTGCTTGAGGGACAGGCTGCTGCCCCTGATGTTGCCTCTCACTTGGTTAATTTATCTTTTAAGACATTTCAATGAGGCACAGATGCTGCAACAAAAAAGCACCATCAGGTCTCTAAGACTTTCTAAATAATATATTTTGTTTCTTCATGAAGATTATTTTTAAATGTCATCATAGATATTTAGAATAAAACTGATACTTCATTTTGTTATGATTTTATGAAAACTTTCCAGTCTGTCATCTCATCGAGTCAAATATTACAAAAGAGGGTCATGCTATTTTATTTAAAGCACCTTAACTCAAACTGTGATGAAGAAAAAATGTGTTTTAAAATCATTACTGGTGTGGACTCTGTTACTGTCCTTTTTTTTTTTTCTTGCCCAAAAAAACAAATAAATCATCCTTTTCTGTAAAATCAGCTGACCGTGGCTCTATGCAGTCACCTACTTTCATCAGCATCAGTTGTGTGATTGGATCATGTTTGAGAACGGTGTCTGTACAAATGGTACCTGTCCCTGTTCATCACTGAGAATTAATAATTAGTTAAATCAGACATTTTAATCAGTGGAGTGTCCCTAATACAAATACTATAAAATTAGCATTTTCATTCAAAATGCTGTGTGAATGTTGTATGTGGTGAGAATGAGTGTAAAAAAATGATGATTAACAAAATATAATGTGTTAAACAGAACAATATTTAAAAAAAAAATAATAAAACACAAATAAAGCTAAAATGATGAAATACTAAAAACTAAATATTTGCTTGCTAAAAGTTTAAATATAGCTAGTTCTAAGTTAAAAGTAATTAAAGCCTAAAAGCAATAGAATAAAATAAAAATAAAAAAAATGACCAGAAAGATTTCTAAAAGCTAAAAGTAGTTAAATAATAGCTAAAAGCTAAATGTTGCAGACTATCATCTAAACATTTCAAAGTACTATAAGAAAAGAAAAGTAGGACAAGTATGCAGAAGCAAACTTTTAAAAATAATAATTTTAAATAAATAAAACTGTATCATACATATACTGTATATGGAGAACATTTGTAAATAATCA